TCAATGTATAGAAATCGACTTTTTAGGGAAAATAAAAACGTTGAAAGATAATTACCCAATTCTTTTTAAATCAAACTTTGAACCAATAAAATATTTATTATTTTTTGGTTATATACAGTGTGATCATGAATAAAATTACCTTCCAATTTCCTCACAGAGATCGTACACCTCATCAAACAGCACCTCCTCTTCTGTCATCATGATGATTTTCCGGATACAACAATTTTTCCAACCGAAAACATGCACTTCAATTACCTACGTCATGCCACTTAACAAAAGGGGGCACTTTCATTAAATTAAATTTTTTGATGAGCACATGTGGGGGCAACACTTTTCCTATCCCTGACCTGTCTTTTCCGACTGTATGGGTGAGGCACTGATATATTTTCACTGTCGCTATCTCTTTCTAGCGCGCTGAGAAATGAAAACTATGCAATCTGCGCGATAGTGGAGTAGAATGGGTTGCCTAGCGCACTGTTGCCGCACCTAACGTTTTATCCCGAAAACTACGAAAAAATGTTTTATGCAAATGATATTTTTGTTGTTGTATTTGAATTTAGCAATCTCTATTAGGTTAAATGTTTTGTTATTTTCAAGAAATACTGATAACACAGTTTTTTATCATTATTTTTGTATTTTTCAAATTACTTAGTTAAAATAATATTTTTTTTTAATTTTCACGAAAAAGTAAAAGTTTGAAAAATCATTACTAGAAAAGTACTCAAATTTTAAGTGAGTTATTATTTTGATGTAAAACTCCAAAAAATTTGTAAAAAATAAAATAAATACACTCCACAGTCACTTAACAAATATTTCACAACATATTTTATCCAAGAATTAAAAACATTTGGAAAAACATTGATGACATAATATAAGGTTATGTTTACATTTTTTAGATCGATATTTATACAAATTTCCATCAAGTTATGAATGAAAACGCACTTTATAATGACAGATCAGTGACAGCTGTCAAAAATTTGACGTTTACGTTGTCTTAAAAGCCTTCTGCGATTGTTGTATTTATTTTGCTGGATATATTTAGTTTTCTGTGCGTAAGACGCGGCAACAGCGTACGTGTGTAAGGTAGGTGCACTGAATTGCCGGGAATTTGTTTAACTAGTGGTAAGTAACATGGGAAGCACTGGTTTTGGTTGCACTCACGGTAGATACGGCGATTTTTCCGGATTATTGTTTGAGGAAAAACTGCCCGGACTTTTGACAACGCACGGTACACACCCCGATGTACTGGCGACACTACGTGCTACTGACAACGGCAACACGGCTCGCACCGCTCCTGGGCCTGCTGTGTCTGCCCTCCGCGCTGTGTTGCCAGATTTACGCAGTGTTTATCTGTTCGAGAGGTTTTTGACAGGAAATTGTGTAACATGTAGTTATGACTGTGTTGTTGTTTTTATCAGTTTTTTTATCTGACGAAAAATTGATTTATTTTTTTATCACAATTTTTTCGTGATTTTTGCAACTTTATTTTTTTAATTAAATAGTCAAAATATTGTTTAACATTTTTTCATGATTTAAGAAAATTTTATATCGTTTAACAATTTTTTTATGATTTTACAAAATTTTAGCTTTTTTAATTAATTCAAGTAATTTTTGTACAACTTTAATTTTTTTATTTAAATAGTCAAAAAGTATCATTTAAAAAATCGTTAAATATTTTTTCATGATTTTAAAAAAAATGTTAGTTTTTAACTAATAAAGTTGTTTTTTTACAACTTTTAATTTTTATAGTCAAAAAATGTCATTCAAAATTTTAAATTAAATTATCGTTTAACATTTTTTTATGGTTTTACAAAATTTTAGCTTTTTTAACTAATAAAGTAGTTTTTTACAACTTTATTTTTTTACTTAAATAGTCAAAAAATTATCATTTAAAATTTGAAATTAAAAATATCGTTTAACATTTTTTCATGATTTTACAAAATTTTATATCGTTTAACATTTTTTTATGATTTTAGAAAATTTCAGTTTTAAGTAATCAAGTAATTTTTTTTATTTAAATAGTCAAAAATTATCATTTAAAAATATCGTTTAACATTTTTTCATGATTTTAAAGAATGTTATTTTTTAACTAATAAAGTAGTTTTTTACAACTTTTATTTTTTTTTCATGATTTTACAAAATTTTAGTTTTTAACTAATCAAGTAATTTTTACAACTTTTATTTTTTTATTTAAATCGTCAAAAAATTATCATTTAAAATTTTAAATTAAAAATATCGTTTAACATTTTTTTATGGTTTTACAAAATTTTATATCGTTTAACATTTATTTATGATTTTAGAAAATTTCAGTTTTAAGTAATCAAGTAATTTTTTTACAACTTTAATTTGTTTTATTTAAATAGTCAAAAATTATCATTTAAAAATATCGTTTAACATTTTTTTATGATTTTAAAAAAATGTTAATTTTTAACTAATTAAGTAGTTTTTTAACAACTATATTTTTTTTACTTAAATAGTCAAAAAAATATTATTTCATAACAAATAATTACTTATTAAAACCAATTTACATAAAAACATCCTAAAATTATACTTATTAAGTTTTTAAATTTAAATTTGTGTATCGTAAATATTTAAAATTATTGTAATTATTTTTAAAAAAATTTGCTTTATGGTATTGGTAGTTTTTATTTAAATTTTCGCACTATTTTTAGTTTTTTTAATAATAAGCTATTTTAGGATTTTGTCTTCAACTACAGACTTATTTACAAAAGTATTATAATTTTTACCATTTTTTTATGATTTGATTAAAAATTATTTTTTTTTTCAATTATCAATCCCGTAACAAATTTGCTTGAATAAATAAATTTTGGTTGAAATATTAAAAATACCTGATTTTGGAGAAATGTTGCTATATCTGGCAACGCCGCATGGGCCTGCCTGCTGCGATTAATGGACATGCGCCAGTTAATCAAGATAGCAGGACGTAGCGCGAGTTTGAATCACACCAAGCGCGCGAATAGTTATAAAAGTAATACGAAAGAATCTATTGGTAAAATTATTGTATTTTTAATTTAAAGGTTACGAACTTTTTTCATATTTTACAAAAATATTTCCAAATTTTAGGAATTTCAAAGAATTTATAAATTAATGAAAATATTATTAAAAGAAAAAAATAACTGTTTTTGTGTATAATGCTTATTATAATAATAATAAATAAATTTAATTACATTTTCAAAAAAAAAACAAAATATTGAATATTAAAACAATTGCTTGGTAAATAAAAATTAAAGGGAATGACCATAGAAAGCTATAAAAACCTTGAAATTAAAAATAATTATGAAAAATTTTACAATGCCACGCAATTTTGTATTTTGTATTGCTAAAATTATTTAATTTCGAGATTTCTCTAAAAATAGTATCTACAAAGCACATATTATCGCTGTGAATGCATTTAATTTAATTATTTCTCAAGATTCTATCATCATTTTTAGGTTAGGTTCAAATGACATGATGACATTTTATTGTAGGTACGCTTGAAAAAAAAATCAAATATTCGACTGTTATTTCTGAAGCTATCTAACCTCAATGAGGTTACCTCAATTTACACTTTTAAAACTTGTTATTATATCGCTCATCCGGAAGAAAACCGTCACAACTCAGAAAATCCAAAAATTGAGTTTTTAATTGAAATTAATTCCAAACATCATATTCTATGTTGTAGAAAAATGTCTCATCTAAACTTTTAGTATTACCCGAGAGATGGAACTTGTGTCACTTCATCCCTAGCGCGCAAATGCATAACTTCACAGAACTAAAGCGACACTTTTCAGTCTTTATTCATACGTCAAAGCGAGACAAACGATTTATTTCTGGAAAAACGTCACATCTCGGGTTATAACAGTGATTTTTGTTTTACTTTCAATTGATAACGGTCATATTTTTATTTGTGTCCTTTTTTGTTACAATGTTCCTTTCTAGCAATCTACCGAATTATAGTAGGTAAATTATTATATTCCGTTTTGATAACTCAATGTTTAGGTACGTTCTTTTTTTAAACTGTTCATATTTTCAATAAATAAAATGTTTAATACAATGTTTGAGGGATTTATTTAATGAATTTGGAAACAAAATTTGCATCAAATTTAGTAGAAAAGTGACACATCTCTGTCATTGAAAGGATTTGTTTTTCTCATTAACAAACAAAAAATTTAAAGTAATTCAGATTAAAACAAAGTACTTTTAAAAAAGCCATGTTTTAAAATAAATATTACTTTTTTACAAAAAAATCCATAAACATCAACAGTTCGATAAATTAAATTATTTGCAACTTTAAATTGCTTCTCCTGAAAATTTAACTTTTTTGAGTTGTGACCGTTTTCTTCCGGATGAGCGATATGTAATTGTAAGTAGGTACGTTTTATGTATTGTTAACAAATAAAACTGTAAAAATAGCGTCATTTCTCAGCCTTATTGCATAAATACTTAACTATTATTTAAACTTAATATTAATATATCAATAATAAAAACATTGCAGAACCTTTTAAATTTAAATTACTAATTAATAAGCCTGCATGATGACAACAACTGATAGATTATAAATTATTTAACATAAATAATGGATTTTCTGATTAATTAGGTAGGTACACCAAAAACACTAACAATAATTTACTAATTTGATTAGGTATTACCACAAATAATCAAATCCCAATTAACCACCAAATTATGCAAAATATAAACCACTCACCGACATCTTTTAAAACACTTTTATTTTCACTAAAACACACAAAATATCCACAAAAACTTGATTTTTCTTTGGAAAACTAGCATCAAATTCGCTGTCAAACATGGTGAAGAGAAACAAAACACGATCTGTCATTCAAATGCCATGCGCACACTTTTGACATGTAAACAAACGCAGCCTACTTTGATATTATCGTTGTGGATCGATAAAATTGATTATTTTGTTAAAAAAACGTCAAAACCTGTAAAATATTGCAAGGAAGTTATTTTACAAATCTTTAGGTATTATAAAAATAGTCTTTATTTATTATTATGATATTGCGTCGTGTTATAATTAATAAATAATAATAATAATGTTAAAAATTAAACTATGCAGTTTTTTTCTGGTCTTGAGAAAGACGATGGGGCTGTGTAAACAAAATCTGAAACTCTGTCGGATACATTTCTAAGGTATGTTGGGAGTTTTGTTTGAGTTTTTTGCATTAATCTTTCAACAAATGGTTTTTGGTACATTCTTTGAGCCTCTTGTTTTTGTTCTTCTGTTACAGCTCGATCATCAAGGTGCTTTAGATCAGGAAAAAGGGATATTATAAATAATCTATAAAAAATTTAATTTATTGTGAATTAAAAAAAAAATTGTTTAATTAATATTTACCTGTATTGTAAATATTCATACAAACTCCCACCGTTTAAATATGAAGGAGCCATGGAATTTCCCATTAGCGATAAATACTTTAGGTTAGGACATGATTGTTGAAGTTTTCGAGCCCATGGATACAATTCTGTGATCTGTAAAATTACGAATTTTTTTACCAATTTTAAAAATAATCTGTTAATTTTTTTAATGTTCCAAATGTAATTTTATTACCTTACAATGATTCATCCACAATAATTCCAACTTCGGCAAATACGGAATCACAGTATTCGCTGTGATTTTATTGTGATCACAAATCAAAGACGTTAACTCCTTAAACTCGCTCAAAAAATCCAAATTCCTAAAAATAAATAAAAAACAATTGCTATAAAAACCAACAATAAACCCCAAAAATTATTTTGATAATAATTACTTAATTTAAATACAAAATTCACTGACTGAAATTCGTTGTTGCTTATGTCGAGAATTTTGATCAAACTCCCCAATTCTTGTATCAGTATTTTTGGCATTGTACTCAGCCTTTCATAGGCTAAAGAAAGCCTGTGAATGTTGTCATCTTCTGTGTCTTTTTTCCCTGATTTACCTAAAAGAAGAAAAGTCGTTTAACAAAGTTAACATAGGCAACCCAGAATACATCAACGTAATCTGAGTTGCCTTTAACTTTTCATTTGATAAAAATTGTATTTACCTAAAAGCATTAGCATGTTAAGGGACGTCATATTAAAAACATCCACTTCATCATCCAGAGTTTCATCAATGTTCAAAAAATGAGGTAATTTTTCAATGTCGACAACCAATATTTCTGTATCATTGTCAGATCTGCAAATTTCAAAAATTTCCTGTATAAAACACAATCACAGTAAACAAAATAATTAAATATTCAACTTACACTTCATAGCAATCGTCTGTTTCCATTTTGATTAGTAAATTACTAATATAACCTTAACTAGTTATTAGTCGAGGAATAAATAAATAATGAGATAAATGATAAACTTTAACCTCGTAATTATTTTTAATTTCTATCTAAGCACTTAAATATTTTTTATAAATTGATAAATACTTTCATTTGTTTGGATTTGATAACAAAAACAATCCATAAAGTAAGGTTTTTACTTACCTTTTTTACTACATCTTTAGGCTTCAAGTAATGCTTCTATACTTCATTATTAATATTTTTGTTTTATTTGTTTTTTCACCAAGATTACTCTTATCTGTGTAAGCAGAATAAATTTAATAAAAAACTACAATGTCATGATTTTATTCAATAAACACCTGTTTGTTTTGAAGTGTTAACGTACGCAACCCTTATTACAATGGTGTATTCTGGGTTGTATACTATGAACATAATAATAAACATTTTATTTCCAGCCAGTTTTTTATTTACCTACTTCTAAACTTAACAATATAATCACAATCAAAATATAGGACGATATGCACACATATTTGTAATTATTATTCTACCCTAAACATTTACAATTTTTCATTGCTCTTTACATTTATTATTTTTTTATATGGGTAGATGAATACATTATGATAATAGATATTTATTACTCTTTTTTATTTATATTAAAGATATTTTCTTCTATTTTAACAATATTTAGATAAATTTATTTGGAAGTGGGCAAATTCAGTTCTGCAGAAACGTGATATAATTTTTAAATTATTAAATATATGTCTTGTAATTATAATTTTATGGGGTAGGTACTGCCAAGTGTTTAGATGTTATTTTCCAGTAAATGCATTTCTTGGGACCTTCTGTAAGCCTGGGCCTAAAACAAATAAATATTAATTCGCTATTTTTCGGATATTTTTACAGTGTGGTGGTTTCAAAAAATCAAATAGGTACTTATAAATAATAATAGAAATTTTAATTTAAAACTGCAAAACAATTATTTTAAACATTACTGGTTAAATTACCCTTGAATTAATGTACCTAATGTTGTAATAAGTAGGGAATTCAATTTCAACTTCTTGGTTAATAAGTAAAGAGAAATAAGAGTCGTTTTCAAAAAACACCCGCCTTCCGCTGTCCGTAAGTTTGAATTCCAATAACTTTGTTAAAAATTATCGGATCTTATTGATTTATAAACCAAGTGAAAGCCTAACAAGCCCTTAGTTAACTCTTTCAGAAAATTTTTGTTTAGTTATTTCAGAATAATTTTTTTAAAATTTTGAAACTTGTGAAACACACATTTTCGCATGTCCCATTAGCGTTTTATAAAACTTACTTACATGTTTTTTTTTAATATTGAATAACCAGAACTTTGTGTTGCTTTATAGCAATCCATCACATCCTTAGTTAATACAGTAAACAATTTATAAATAAATAAATTAATTTTAATCTACTTTTTTTAAATTTGACTCATGTCCCAGACATTTTTTCCGTTGCGTTACGTCCGTCGCGTTACCGATAGAATATTTAAAAAAACATATATATGGCAACTTTTTTGCACTCACGTGATCAACAAATGATGTTCGGACGTACACATTACCCAGTTGAATTTATTTACTCAATCAGGAAGAAGATATCGGTTTAAACAGGTGCGGGTAACGCGAATGTAATAATTGTTTGTCCGCTAAGTTACTCAAAAAAATAATAAAAATAAGGTAAGAAAAAATACTATTTTTCATGTTTATGTTTATTTTAGGGCACTAAAGCTCATTGAGAGTAATTAATGACTATAATGTCTTATTATTATTTTTTAAATATGGTTTTACAAAACTTTGTCCACTGCGTTACCGAGTCCACTATGTTACCTTATGGTAACGCAATGGAATTTAGGGTAACGCAATAGAATTTTTCGACAACAAAGTGGATATTTACCGTCGCTTTTATTAAAAGTAGTTTATGATTAACCAATTTAAAATTATTTGTAATTACAACTCATGATATAGATTACATCCAAGGAAAAATTCCACGCAATATAAAAGTACTAAATGGGACCTTCACCAGCTTATAGTCAAAGAAAAAGGGTGTCTACAATTTAGAAATCTAAGTTGTTATTCTGCAAGTGAGCACCACTACAAGGGATTTTGTTTATGCATTACTCTAAAATCGTACACTGAGAAAAAACAATGGTTATCTTAATCAAATATAAGTATAGTAACTTTTACTAAATATTCTGATTAGTATAGGCACAGCCATATTTACTGTTATGTTAACCATGTTTATATTGTAACAGTTTTATTGTCCATTAACTATATTTTTGTTGTTGCACAAAACAATAATTTATTTAGTTATAATAATCATATACAAATACCTTATAACCCTCTATATGGTTAAATATACTACCTATACGTATGATATGTATAAACTTTCTGTATAGTAAAAACTACAACAACATATTGTTAATATTGTGTGACAACATTATATTGTTATTGTAACCAGATAATCTTATAATTTTAACCATCTAGTGTAGTACTAACAGTTTAGCCGTACATGATGGTTGTAATAGTCTAATCAAATATCTAACTTTACTAAATTTTTATAACAAAATGATTAGAGTACATATAACAAAACTAATTTTACGTATATTGTTATTACAACCATAAGTTATAATTAAATGATCCATATTTTGCATAACAAATCTATATTGTTAGGGATTACAATATATTTTCTTAGAGTGTACCAACCTATAAAGTTTCTTTTTTACGTTATCTGATTAAGTCCTTTGTGTACCCCTGTCCGTTGTGATACCAATGTCTATTTCGTTAATTTTTTAGTTTTTGTTAAAAAAATACTTAAAATGATTTTTATACACTATCACTTGGTAATACGTGTTTATAAATTAGAGTTTAATTCACCAATACAGTGACTAAAAGAAAATATTAATGGTATTGTTTTTTTAACAAAAAATCGGAATGAATTCTTTTAAAAAGTAACTTAACGAACATACATATTTAAAAAAAAAGCATACAATTTTTAATAAAAAATTGGAGTCAAAAGTTTGTGAAAGTACATTTTATTTCAAATTATTTTTATAACAACTTTTTTTATTGAATTAAATTTTGGATTTCAAATTGGTAACACGGTGGAGATATATTAAGCTAGCTAAACACATTTTTCTGAAAAAAACGTAAAAAAAAATTAAAAAGTGCACTGCCTGTCTTAAATGTAAGTAAACAAAACTCTAAACATTTATAAAAATACAACCAAAAGTCAATTTAAGCAAAAAAAAATTTGATCTTCATTTTCCTGAAAGCGGGTGTTTCTTGAAAATGACCCACAATTTTTATATAAACATAACAACTTTACATCAAATAACATTAATTGTTAAATATTTTTTAAAGATTTATTGCTGTTTTAGGTAATTTTTTTTATTTCATTTTTGTACTTTTTTATAATTTATATTTTTCTTTTTCGGATTCCTCATCCCTTTTCTGGATTCTTAAGGTAACTACTAATTCCTTGGTCTGACTTCTGAAATAGTTTGTTGCAAATATCATTAAGTATGGTGGTATCTCTAGTTTGTGAAGCATTTATAATGTTTAGGCCGGAACAGGATGACTTATATATATATAAGTATATATATATATATCTAATATTTTTCGGGTGGTATGTTAAAAGTATTTTTCGAATTTAATAATTTTGTTGCCATTAGTTTTTTATGTTCTTTTTCATGCACTGTATTTCTGCAAGATGTCCTGTGACGAAGAAATCACTATATTACCTACTCTCTAAAAATGAATTAGTCAAAAATGTAATAGCGAAAAAGCGGCCACTAATAATTCTCGTCAACAGTAATTTGTATCCAGGACATTTAGCAGTCAATTCCTATGAAATATTATTCGCTGAATCCGAAAATGTCGTCAAAAGTTATAAAAGTAGAACAATTTTTGAAATATAATCAATTTTACATATAATATGGAATTGACTATATCTCAAAAACTGATTAACTTTTATAGTTTTTGACGGTCTTTTCGGATTCAGGGGACAATTTTACATAAGAATTGGCTGGTAAATGCCCGGGATACAAATAGAGTATGATATTGGACATATGTCCAATAATAGAAGTTTAAAAAACGTTATTTAACTTAGATTTTAGAATGCTAGTTATTTAACCAGTAATGCTACAATATTGGATATACAAAAAGAACTAAAAGAACAAAAACAAAGATCTAAGATAACCCTTTGAATTTTATCTGAAACAGGTTTTTAAAGGCAAAATAATGGTCATTTTTGGATACATGGGTACTTAAATTAAATTAAAAAAAAAAAATTTTACCCACCCATTGCCTGATTAATCTAGACAAGTTGTCGTACTGCTGCTGATTCATTTTGGCCTTTGGCGAGAAGGAGCTCCTGGGTCCGGTAAAAACAAATGCTGGATTTTCTTCCAAGTCCTGATATCCGTTTTGCAAAACTACTTCATTTGTATTGTAAGGATCATCCGTAGAAGCCCTTTTTCCCATACCACCGTAACAGGAATGTCCGAAATTGGAACACCCACCTAAAATTAAAAAAATATATGTATTTCCCTGTAAAAATATTAGAGTTGATTTGAAAGTGTAAAAGTTACACTACAAAATACACTAGGTAGCATTTAGTGCTTATTAACTTTATTAAACATATTTAAAGAATATGAACATTATTCATTGGTACATTTACACTATTTATTATTAAAATAAATCAAAAGGGTAGAAAAACCTAATGCGAGTGTTTATTATCCCTTAATGTGTTAAATAGTGACAAAATGTACACTACAGTGCATGCCAATTTCTTTGTCTGTATTGATGTTACTAAGAGCTCTTTTTTCTTTACACTACTAGTGCACATTGTATCACAATTAAAGTTAAATTACACCAATAGTGCCAAAATACACTAAAAAAACTGGTAATCACCGAAATGCGTTTTAAAATGTTTGGTTGGTACCTATCTACCTACTCAGTGCATATCCGGAGATACCGCGTTGTGGAAGTGTGGCATTTTTGTTCAGTTAGATTTTAATTACGGTGATTCCATAAGGGGACATTCTTATTTTTTGGTTAGTATTATACATCCTTTTTCTTTAAGCCTTAATATTCAATAAATACCAATATGTTAAAAGGATGTCCATACCCGACTTACATTATATATCAATAATTACGGCAGTAGGTCTGGTACTAATAATTTAAATACACACACTTGATTTACTTTTTATTTTCAAGCGTAATGGTTGTTATATTAACCTATACCTACATTTTTATTAATATTATGGAAAATTTGTACACGTGTGGTAAATCCCCGACATACAGCCGCCTGACGCCTCTCTACCAATGGGATCACCCATTTTTTATAACAGAAAAATGGATTACTAATGAATTCTCAAGATGATTCAGTGCTTATAAGTTGACAGCCACTAAAACATTTCATTGATCTAAAACTTTTACGTTTTAAGGAACCATTTTACTTAAGCCATCCGACATTACGACTCAAATATAAAATTATATTTTAAAAGGCTCCGATTTTGATAATTGTCATAGATTTTTGTTTCAAATAATAGTGTTAATTTACACTAGAATGCTAGAAGTTTGCACTAAAAGAGTAAAAGTACCTTTCTAAAATTAGAACTTTTCCAAAGTAGTGTTAATTTATACTGAACAAAAGTGGGATTTTACCCAGGAAGTGTAGAAGTACACGATTTTAGGTAAATTAACTCTTTTTAATACAGTGTAAAATTACTTTATCCTCAGTGCTATAGTGTTAAATCATACTTGCTTACTTGGGGAAAATTACACTACAAATTAACTCTAATTGTAGTGTTATAAAACAACACTATTTAGTGTTGCTTAGAGTTGATTTTTTTTACTGTGTATCAATCAAATACGAGATTTAGAGAGAAATTTAAATTTTCCTTACAGGCATTATAACTAATCGGAAAAAATCTTTTTAAGTTTGAGTATATCGCAGTATGCATAAAACATTTGAATAATAAATGAGATCCATTCGAAATACATAATTTGAACCGTGTACAATTTCGATTTTTTACAATTATAAAGTGTGCTGCCATTCCCACAAATCCAACTAAAAAGCTTACATTTTTTATTGAATTACAGATTTCCGCAAACAATGAATAAATACATTGTTAAATTTCGATTTTAAATTCCGCCTATTTATTTGCATGTAGAACGCCTAAATACCCAAATTGTGTAAATAAAAAAACGTGTATGGACATTTTAACATAAATAAGTTATGGTACCAAACGCAATGTATGCACATTTATACCTTTTTCAATCCTAAAATATATTTTTTCGTCCAAGTGCGATTGAATGATAGTAGTGTTCCACATCAATCTAACTTTACACTTAAATATTCATTTAGCACTAGCTAAGCTCTGGCAGTGCACATTAGTGTAAATATGCAATCAGGGGGTGTTCAGTTGACAAAAACGCAAACTTGTTTCGTTCATTGTTCTCTCAGAATTTGAGTTGGAAGAATGCACCAAGCTGTTTAGTTGTGGTTTATAATTATTAACTAAAGGTAAGTCAATTTCAAAGTATTTTTACTCATCATGGTTTAAATGTCAAAAATTGCATTTTGTTTTGGTTTATAAGGTCAAAAATCGCGTGAAAATCGCATTTTGTTTATTGTACAGACAAATTTCAAGTACAATTCTTACAATAGCTCAGTTTAATGTATATAATAAGTAAATCGTTTTTTTTATTTTCAGATGTTTTTCCTGAGAGTAAAACATGTCCATGATGCCAAGTTTAATAAAAACTAAAAATTTAGCCAAAACCTTAGCAGTGCGATTCCAGCAGATGGCATTTTACGATGACAACTTTAGCACTGAATTGCAAAGAGGACCTTCAAAGTTTTTTTTTTGAGATTAACACTGCCAAAATTTGGTATATAATTATATAGAAAAATTTCCCGATTCGATAGAAATTTTAGTCACAAAATGGGTAAGAATTGGTCACCTGTATAAAACTACGAGATTTTAAGCTTGCTTTACAAAGAGCCATACAATTTTCACCAATCTAACAGTGTCAATTGGTACTTTGTGCCAAAACATTATTTGGTGTTTTGAACATATTTATATTTTAAGTAATTGCCAAAGATTAGTTTTATATTTTGTAGCGTATAACTTACAATGGACTGTATTTTTATATAAATATAAATTTTATTTTTTTTATATAAACATTATTTAAACACCCCAGCAGCGCTACCCAAAAGTAATTTATTTAATTAAAAATATATGAATATATAAAAAATTAATAAGAGCAGAATCATTGCAAACCTCCATTATAGGTATAGGTATATATTTTTTTTCAAGCGTACAATAATTTTTATATTATAAAACTTCAAAGTCTATATAAAAATTATTCTTAAACTTTCTACCGAAATAAAGCTAAAATGTCATCGTCAGTTAAACCTAACATAAAAATGATGTGACAGAATTTAAAAAAAAAATTAAAAAAAGCAATGCTTCAAGCAAAAAGGTGTATAAAACACGGCAGCGAAAGCTTAATAATTGCCTCGCGCACAATCTACTGCCTCAGCTGACGCCTCGGCAGTAAAATGTATTAATATTATATTATATATTATACCATTTTTATCGACATTAAATGAATTTTATGTATATTACTTTAAGGGCGCACTGCAGACACCAATCTTACACAATATTGGTGTACAATTTTTAAATGTATTAGTGTTAGGATAAACACTAGATAGATTAAATTTCCAGCACTATTAGGAATAGGTTTTACACTAAAAGTGAAAAAATTAAATTAGTGTCAAAGTGAACACTTTTAGAGAGCTACCGAACGCGGTTAGTGTAGTAATTTTCAATCAAATAGTGTACGAGGTGTGTTAAGAAAATAACGGAGGGTCCGGTTGTCATAAAATTTTCTTTATTATGTTGGTATACATGCCCCCGAAGTATGATAAAAACTTTAGCTGTTTTTATTGTTTACTTTGTCTGTGGCAGCCGCTAAGTTTAGACGTGTTTTATGAGCTCGGCGATTTTTCGTTCGTTAAAAGAAATGGATCAAAGAATTTGTATCCAATTTTGCTTAAAAAATTAAATAAATTCTGTGAAATGTTAACAAAGGCCTATAGTGAGTCTGCTATAAGTAAAACAAGAGTTTACAAGTGGTATAAGAGTTTCCAAGATGGCCGTAAAGACGTTGAAGATGACGAACGCCCCGAACGCACAAGCACATTAACAACCGATAAAAACATGGAAAAAGTGGAAGAAATGGTTATAAACCATCAGAGAAGTCGCTGATGATGTTGGTATATCGATTGGCTCATCCCATGAAAATTTTTCGAATGTTTTGGGTATGAAACGCGTGGCAGCTTAATTTGTTCTAAAATTGTTAAATTTTGAACAACATTTTTGGCCAAAAACAATACTGTAATGATGCCCCAGCCTCCATATTCGCCAGACATGCCTCTGTCTGACTTTTTCCTATTCCCAAAAATAAAGAGAACCTTAAAGGGCCGTCGTTTTGCAAGCATAGATGACATTAAAAGCGCATCGCTGAAAGAACTAAAGGCTATCCCAAAGATCGAGTTTTAGAAGTGTTTCGAGTATTGGAAGAAGAGCTGGCACATGTGCATAATATCCAATGGGGACTATTTTGAAGGCGACAACATTAATGTAGACGAATAAATAAATATTTGTGTCAAAAAACGAAAATTCCCGAAATTTTAGTACAACCTCTAGAGTTAAAACAACACTAAAATTCACACTAAATTTAAGGTGAAAATTTAAACTAATAAAGTGAACCTGCTCAAGCTATAACAAGTGTTTTTGATAAAACTAAAAAGTATTTATATACTATACTATATGATCATAAACTTCCTTTAAAACAAACAAATGCATTTGAATTGAAGAGATCGGTATCTTTTTAATCAGTAATTACTTAAGTTTGGCTGATTTAAAAGTTAAATTATTTCTGGATGGTTTGAGACTGATAATTATCTAAATTATATTTTTAATTGCTCTCTATCGTCGTCTATCTATATTTAATTAAATTCAGATCGCTCCAATTATGAAGTCGTTTTGTTATTTTTTTCCTACTGTCTTCAGTAGCTTTTATAACAATTTTTTATGCAATTATAAAACTTTTTTTATCTGATGTTGAAACTCCAGCCGACTTGATTTGATTACTGAGTTATACCAAATTAATATTCGAAAAATTGTTGCTGTTCTATTTTGTACTACCCAGTTTGTGAGTATGTTCAATTAAGGTAGATTTATTTAAATTTAATAAAGTTGCCTGATAAATTAGTTATTCATATACATAGATAGACTCAATTAATAATTAATATTTTAGAATGCATATCATACCAAATTCCGACCTTTCGGTCAATTAATAGCTCGATTCTATTTTGACATAATTAATACACTTTACATAAATTTACACGACAATATTGGTGCGGTATATTGACTAACTTGTTCTAAACAAGATTAATTTTATTAAATTTTGTATTCACGCACAATGCATTAAAAACTTTATTAATATTTGGTTTTACAATTTTGTATTTTGTCTTAAAACTTATTAAAATGTCATATGGAAAACTCGGATTTTTATGTAGTTATGTAAACACAGTAAAAAATTTTGCCCGTGTAAATTTTTTAGTTTAGGGGTAAAAATATTAGAGTTAATTTGTAAGTGTAAAAGTTATACTACAAAATACACTAGATAGCATTTAGTGCTTATTAACTTTATTAAACACATTTAAAGAATATGAACATTATTCATTGGTACATTCACACTATTTATTGTTAAAATAAATCAAAAGGGTAGAAAAACTTAATGCGAGTGTTTATTACCCCTTAATGTGTTAAATAGTGAGAAAATGTACACTACAGTGCATGCCAATTTCTTTGTTTGTTTTGATGTTACTGACCTCTTTTTTCTTAACACTACTAGTGCGCATTGTATCACAATTAAAGTTAAATTACACCAATACCCTAGTAGAAATTTAAATGGGGAACTAGTAGGGCTCTAGCTAGTTTTCCCCAAATGAAACGAGGGCCTCGCTAGGAATCCCTACTAGTTTCTGACCAGTCATGTAATGCTTTTCCTGGTGGGGAACTACTGGGGAAAAGCTGGTAGGGAAAACTAGCTTAAAACTAGTTGGGAATATTTGTGAATTTTTTAACCAATAATAAATGCCAGTAGCAAAATTTTTTTTATTAGATTTAAATATATTTACATTTTCACTTTTTTTTGTTTTTTTTTTTCGGTTCTGCCCCCACTCTAGTCTTTGGAAGCTTAAAGCTTTTTCGAACTCTTTTGCCGTAAGCCTTTGTTTATCCGGTAGTTTTTGTCCATC